ATTGGTCATCACCACATTTACAATGCAACCGCCAACTGGAATAGAAATCACCAAGCAGAGTTATTCCTGGGCAACACCATTGATCGTCATGATATTACAGGCCAGAAGTCTTTAGACAAAAATTGAAATCCTTTAATGGATTTCATCGTAAAAGCATTATGTGTTTGGTTGAGACACGCTGCTAGATGTATTCTTGTGGAAGTGGCAGAAATGAGGATTGCCACATGCACACATTTTGATTTGGTTTGGTTGAAAAGATAAGGCCATAATGAAATTGATCCAGTGATTATCAGCGAAATCCTAAATGTACAAGTAGATCCTGAATTACTGAGGTATTTATCAAAATATGAATACATGGTCCTGTGGAACTCTTAATCAAAATTCACCAAATGTATGATGGATGTTAATGTTCAAAACGACTCCACGGACATTAATAATCGAAACAATTAACTGGTAATGACGGTTATTCCACTGTATGTCAAGGGAGACGATCGTCAGCAGACAAATGGAAGATCAATAATTGTCAAATTTAAATCAACAAGATATTGAAATAGATAATCGTTGGGATTGTTCCATATTCCACGACATTTTAATCAAAACCTTCAGAAGCCACATCAAACGTTGAATTTGCATTCAAGTATAAATACATTTGCAAAAGTAACGGCAAAGGGAGTGATTATGGCTGTGATGGAATTGGTACAGAGAATTCCAATGATGAAGTTACCGCAATACCAAAATGGGCCCGCTATGTTAGTAGTAATGAAGGCAGTAGGCGAATATTTTCTTTTCCTATTCATGAGAGACACCCTTCTGTTGTTCACTTAGCTGTGCATTTAGAAATGGACAAATAGTGTAATTTACAGCACAGAACGGCAGTACAAAGAACCTGCTCAGGCGAACCATGCTACTACATTAACCAGCTTTTATTTTGGAGACATGGCCAAAACAATGATTTTTGCACAAATATCACAGTGCTATTTCTTTCTGAAAATGCCAAAAATATTATACTTGAATCAAATCCTTAGAAGATTTGTACGATGGAAACAAGGAAAATAAGTTCCAGGATACCGCCAGATGTGTATTCCAATCACCGATGCCATTGGTCGAATTTTATTCAGTACATCCAAGCAATGATGAATGTTTTTATTTAACGACTGCTATTAGTCAATGTACATGGCCCAACATCAATTCCCAACATTTACAGAAACTGTTGGTGGAATTGTGGTGGATGCTTACAGAGAAGCCTGTCAACGTTTGCAATTGCTAGAAAAATGACGCTCATTGGGGATCAAACTGTCAATGATGCTGTAAAATATCAATCAAACGCTCAATCAAATACGAACATTGTTTTTTCTATAATCATATCTACATGGCTTCCCATCAAACCAATCGATTTGTGGATCAAGTACAAGATTAATAATGTGTGAATGATATTTTGTATCAAATACAAAATAGAATGGGAAATCCAAATATAAAAATCAGTGAAGAAATTTACAATGAAGCATTGATTTCAGTTGAGGACAATGTGCTTGATGATGCAAACAAACTATTAATTCAATTAGGACTGGCCCGCGCCCAAATCCGTCCAATGCATGATGCTTTTAACCAAGAGTTGGAATCGAGAAAAAACTGTATTTGATCTCAACACTTTGAAAAATTAAATCAAACAAAATCTTGCACTGTATGTATTTGAAGGAAGTTTGTACAAGAAGTATGTATTTGAATACTCATGAAAGTAAAAAATGGATGGAAACTGGAGGGCTTTACTACTTAGATGCCCACCTGGTGGTACAGGAAATTTTGATTTTTTCATTTCAATAATATTAGCAACGATTTTGCTCACAAAATAAAATTGCACCTTGCACAAGCTTCGTTCGGGAATCGGGGTCAGCAAACTTTGCTTGAAGGTGGTCGACAGCACATTCAGCATTAAAATTGCCAATTAAATATGCAAAGCAAATGAAACTCCGACCTGCAACATTTCGAAGATACTCTGGCAATGGGCAAAAGTCTTGGCAGCAATGTAACTTATGGGTTTGGGATGAATGCATGAATGCACATAAAAATCTTTGGAGGCTTTACGACAGATACCTTAAAAGGAATCGTAAGGAGCCCAATTCATAACGCAATTTGGTGGTGACAATGCATATTTATTTAGCAAGGAGATGTTCGTCAAACATTGCCAGTGATTCCACGATCAACACAGCTGATGAACTCAAATGCCAATGTCTAAAGTCCTCTCAATTGATCTATCAGAGTGTACTTATTTATACAAGAATATGTGACATGTCGAGTTCAAAAATGACCATCTTGGAAAACAATTCTCTAAACAACTCATTGACATTAGGTAATGGCAAGTGATTTTCGTGAGTAACTATGTGATCTGGCTGCATATTAGCTTTCCTCAACGTTTTTGGTCAGTTAATCTCGCATTCAAAAGAATGAACTTATTCAGAGGTGTTTCCCAGATGTTTTCAAAATTTACAGATAAGACACGATGGGTTGAGCGAAACGAGGCTTATATTTGGCTGCAAAAAACAGATGTTAAAAGAAGTTAAATTTAAAAATTCAAGAACCAAATTACAGGCGAATCTGAGGATAAGATTAAGATTCAGTTGATTCTGTCTACTAATCGAAAGATGAGTTAGTGAACTATCCACCAGAATTTAAACTCGCTGGATTTCCAGGATTACCACCTCACAATCTCATTAAAGGTTGGGATTGCGTATAGTTAAAATGTTCGCGAAATACCAACCAACCACGGCTTTGCAAAGGTACCCGGTAGCCGATAAAAAAAATTACTAAACAACAGTGATAGAAGCACTTATACGAAAGGAAGTCATAAAGCGAGAAAGACGTTTCTATACCGCGCATCCCAATGATTCAGAACGTCGTGCCGTTCTGACTTTAAAAGTGCAAATTGACTCTTTGACGTTAGAAACATACCTACAACAATGAGTGGTTGTGCTACTAACAACGAGTGCTTTATACAACAGCTATAAAGCTCAAATTGACTCTACGTTTTAGTTAGAATACGTTTGTATGGGAAAAAGAAAGATGCTGTTTTTAGGGTTTTTCCGGCAATTATTCGAATTTTTCTCGACGTTAAAACCATCCTTGAACTTCAACAAACATTTTAAAAAACGAATTGCTCAAATTGGTCCAGGCGTTGTTGAGTTATGCGCTTACCAACACATTTTGCGATTCATTTTTATATTATAGATAATATTTCCACTCTTCCATTAGGAAACCGAAAAATTAGGAAATGTCAAAAAAAATGTACTTTGGGAGGCGATAGATGGCAGCAGGCAAGGCAATTTCGAATAGCTAACCAAGACCAAAGAAAATAGAGAAATTATAAAGGAAAAGATGTGCGATTCTGTAGCACCACTAGTTTTCTCTAAGCAGTATATTAAAGAGTGTCTGTTATAAAATTAATAATTATTGTGTATCATGTTAATATTGCAGTAGTAAACCTTCACTAATAATACTTGTTTGTTTCCGTGATATAACCAATATTGAATTTTCAGTGAATTTTAGGACGTTACACTGCTTGAAAAGTTATCCGGAGACTAATGCTAATGTTGTCATTTCTTCATAAAATATTCTAATGTTTTTTGGATTTCAAATGTTTTGCAGGTTGTGTTTTCGTGAATCATGGATGTATGTGTGGTCCTTATCTTGATCCGCGAAAAGTTTCTGAGTTGCCGATGGTTTATTCTGCTAAGAGCATTAATCGACTGGTGAGAGAATGTGTGCAAGCTCTTGTGGATGCTGCTTTGGACCAGAAACAAATTTTTGGACTTCTAAGACAAGGAGAAGGAAGAGTTATTATTACTGGTAAGGAGTAATAAAATGTTTAGGGTTCTTTAATTGTTAGACATAATTCCTTTTTCCTGCATTAATTCTTCACGTTGTCTTCTGGATACAGTGTTGTTGCTTTTTGGTGACATTTTGCTCTTTCTTTTTCATTTAACTCTTTCATAAGGAGTTATAATGTGACGGGTGAATCCAGTCGATCATTTTGGCGTCATGAATTCATCATTTGGGTGTCATAAATTTTCGTTAAATAATAAACATTTGTTATTAAATTTAAATTACTTTTGTACTGCTTGTATTATATTTGATATTATTTTTTAAACAATTAGGTAATTCTAACATAAATATTTAAATCAATTTTGCCAAATAAAAGAATGTAACAACCGAGAACTCTTGGCCGTTGTGAGGGGGGGCGGGAGGCATGGTCCCCATGGTCCCTCCCTGGATCTGCCATTGTAATGAAATATCTTTTAATTTAGGAATGTTAGCATATCATTTGATTTTATAATCCATTGTTCTGGAAAATTTAATTTTCTATGACCAAACACTATTTTAAATTCAATGAATTGTGATTGCATAGACTAGGGGCTTATTTCTGCCCTTGTGTGTCCACTTGGCACAGTTTAGAGATGAGTCATGTATTGATGTTTGATGGAAAGCTGTCTTCTATCTGCAAACCTGACAGTGGAGAGTATATGCAAGTGAAACTATACATTCTGTATGTGTGAGCAAATACATATGATTAATCTGGAAAATATTTTTTTGATAGCATCTTTCGACAGCAAGTCAGTTGATGTGCGATTACCAGTCATTGAGAAAATGTCTGATCTCTGGAGTTTTCTTGAAATTCTTTTTGAAGAATTGATGTGTTGTGAGAATTTTTATACAAGTCGACCGTTAAGTGGAGGGTGCCCGAAATGTACAAAACATGTTCCAGTGGCCAACATCAAAAGAGGTATTATTATTTTCTTATTAACACAAAGAAAATTGTGAGACAATTTTGTAAGTGCTTTTCAACAATTTTATTAACTTGTTGTTTGCAGAAGATTGTGAAGTGAGTGGAGGAAATGGTGTTGCTACAGAAAGCAGTAACTCGGGTGTTAAACGACGTTGGTCATCAGAAAGTTCTGATTCTCGAATAGGTTCTTGCACAGCTACTACCACTAGTGCATCTAGTGCTGTTACCACTGCAACTACCTCCACTTGCAGTGGTGGTGGCAGTAGTAGCAGTAGTAGCAGCAGCAGCACCTGCAGTGGTGGTAGTAACAATGGAGGAACTGTTAATACTGCTACTGTTGCAAATACCACTAGTTCTGCAACATCATTGCCGGCAAAACACCCTCGGAAATCTGTCCCAGGTTAGAATTCATTTTGATATATTAAGGGGAGACACAAAGCAAAAAACTTATGACTCTTTGGGAGATTTTTGCATTTTCTAAATATTTAGTTTTCTAAATGAGATGATATATACTTCATTGTAAAATGTGTCAAAACGGTAGCCATTTTGATTAGGAGTCACAAATTTACGTTATATCTTTGGAATGAATTAATCTAGGAGGCTCTAGCTTTAACTAAATGCTAAAGAAAGGTTCACTCTTTAATATTCTTTTCACTGCGCAGCTTCATCATCTGTGACGGATTTTCACAGCAAACATGTTTTGTTTACTTTTTACTATAAGAAGGTAAAGAAATAACTTTGACACTGATTTCTAAAAGAAGGCATTTTTGAAAAAAATTCTTTCATTATCTGTGACACTACTTTCAAGCAGACTTACAATTTTTTTGGTCAATTAAGTAATAATAAATTTATATACAGTGACACTTATACACTTTGCACTTCTACATTCTTCACATTAATACATTCTATACATTGTTTTCTGTTCTGGGTACGTTCGTAAATTTCCCACCCTAAATTATTTTAGATAAGGGTTTTACATTTATACGCTTTTCACTGTTATATGTTCATAATGAATGTGCTTTTAAGGCCGTATAACATCCAAATGATAACAACATAGGTGACCAATAAGTGTAAATGTTTATATTATCATAGAGGAGTCCACAGAATTTTTATATTGAATTCAGTATTCAGTTTGTTGAATTTTGTTGCTACGTTAGGCATTTCAACAGTGTACTTTAGAATCTTAGACAACACTACAGTAAGAAAAAATAGCATTAGTCATTGAATGTGGCTTTGCATTATTTTCTTCAACATTGCTCGCTAAAAATTTGGTGTGTTTAAAGGAAATATTGAAACTGGAGGGAGTCAAAAATTTATAATGACATTAGGCTATGTCATTAATGCATTGCATTGATGTGCAACACCTAATGTGTCGACGCTTGTGCACATGACTCACTACCCACACATTATAGTTTAACAGAATCTTATGTAAAACAGCACATGAGCGCTCTTGGGGAGGGGGGGGGTGTTGCCAATGGACATTATGTGTTGAAAGGTAGAAAATGCATGTTATTTTGACTTATGTTGTAACTTGATCTGTGGGCATCAGGATTTCTGCATAAAAGCACTGAAAAAATTATTTAAAAAATTTTATTTTACGTCAAATATGGTGTAATTTACAACAAACATTTGAAAGATATACATGTATAGTATTCGAAACATAAAATAAATATAATGTTCATCCAAATTCACATAGGAGACGAAGGGCTTTGTCTCCCCTTCACTACAATTGCTGAAGTTAACAAATAACAAATAACTAATAAATGGATAATCAGTGATAAAAATCATATTTTATTTTTGAATCTCTTTAATTTTTGTGAAAAATGTTTGTAAAATGGAAAATTTGTGGGGATAGGGAATGCAAGTATATATTGTAAATGGGGGGAAAATTACTGAGCAAAACATTAAGGGTTTTTATTTGAAATTATGAGGTGCCTAAAACAAACTTTTTGAAGCATTCATTTTAAAACTTTTTGTTTTGATCATTGTTTCTGTTAACTTAGTTTTTTCTTTTTCTTTTTTCTAATTTCTTTCTGAAATCCATATATCATCTGTCATCACCAACTTCAGCTTTTGGTTGTTTCACTCAAACACGAAAATTGTGATTTAGTTTTGTAACTGAAACAATTAAATTTATATAAAGTTTGTTCTATTGTTATTGAAAATTGAATGGAGAAAAGTACTTTAAGCCTGCAAATAGCTCTGGCCTGAACCAGGAACAGGGAGAATAAGACTCAAAAGAGAAACAGGGTTTTTGATAATGGAGAAACAATTTGTTTTATTTATTGTCCACATAAGATTGTGCTGATTAGGATCAACACAAATGTTAAAAATAACTTTCCTAAACTGTTTTGTAGCTTCAAATGTATCACAAGTAATACCTTGATCAGTTGTTAAGTTGCGTTGTCAATTCCTTCCAACTGACCATTATCTGTAATATATTTGTGCAGCCTATGCAAGTTTTAACAGATAACCTGTTATTTATGTCTTACTATTACATACTTTCAAATGTAATATTGAAAGCAGTTCAAGAAAAGTTCCATTTCCAATAAATGTTGAAACATATATTTATTTTGGTGTATTTTAGCTGAACAAGAGGCTGCTACATCAACAACGCATTCAGAAGCTCCTCCAAAAACTCCAGCTGATCCTTCTGAATGGTCTATTGAAGATGTTATACAATATATTGCATTTGTTGATCCAGTTTTGGGAGCTCATGCAGATCTGTTTAGGAAACATGTAAGTTTTGTCTTCTAGTAAAATGTTGATTATTGGAGAACGTTAAGAGCTGAACAGGAATGACCGTAAAACATCCCTTGGGTGTTAGACTTTAAAGTTTTGTTATTAGCTCCTATTGTAAGTGCACACAAAATTGATAAGTTAATGTAATGAAAGGAAACTAGGGTAATAAAAGGTGTGAAAGCTACAAGTTAGTGCTGATAATTGTTTATCAATCTTTTTGCAGAGATCTACCACACAAAAATTGAGTAATTATTCTACATGCTTTCAATATTCTACATAATTATTGTATGCAATAAAAACATTTTGCATGATAATTTCTTTTATTTTTTTTTACAGGAGATTGATGGGAAGGCTTTGCTTTTACTTAATTCTGATATGATGATGAAATACATGGGTCTGAAGCTTGGACCTGCTCTTAAGATCTGCAACTTGGTGAATAGGATTCGTGGTCGACGGCATCTACCATTATGACAGTGAGAGGCCTGGCACAGTCGAGGCACCTAGTCTACTGCAATGTAGCTGAAATTCAGTTGTGGTGCCTGTTGTGCCTTTGTGCTGTAAATCTCACTGATAATTGTTTGCCCAGGAGTAACTTTGTTGTAGAAATGGAGGGTAGTCTGGATTTTTGGGGTCTGATTGATGTGACATCCTGCTCATATAGCTAGTCCAGTGCACCATGCACTTAAGTCACATATATTAATTCCTTGAATCTTCCAGCTGCTATTGCTATATAGCAAGGTTGTGGTGACACAAATGACTGAAAGAAGCATTTCCTGGTTGGCTGTGGTACTGATTTTGAGCAGATTAAGTAGTTGGAACAGTTGAGTGAACATTTTCATCACACCTATGTGAGGTGAAGATAGAACATTTTTGATATTTCTGACTATTCACAAAATTATTATAAGCATTAAGTGTAAATTATGTACAAAATGTTATAGAATCCTTCCAGAACACCCTAAACAAACACTGACGTTTCCTATCCATAGTAATTGTTCTTTCTGTTGGTATTTCATGAAAAATGGACAGATATTAGAGCCTCAAAATTCAAATCATAACAATTTAGCGAGTCACTTTGTTTGGATGGGATGTTTTACTTTTTATTTTGTCTTGAAATCCAAACCAATAAAACTTTGGTTTAGTTGGATAAATCTTGCTTTTTTTTACATTAAAAGGGATAAATTTCAAAATTCTTTAGATAGTTTGAAATATTTGTATAATGGAGAAATTTTCATTATATCTATTATTATTGAGACTTCTAGGTGGATATTTGTACAATCTAGTGGCGGGCCATTAGATGTGAATGACTTCAGCATAGAGTATTGCAACTGAACTATGATTTCTCAAAAGAACAGAAATTTTCAGTCTCTAAGTCATGGAAGAAATGTTTTGAAAGTAAATAGGTATGGACTTGTAGGATCTCTAGCAATCTATCTGTGAAGGGTAAATTGTCCTTGTAAACATTGATTTTTGTTTGAAATGTGTGAATATCAACAGAGCATGAAGTTATTTTAATTTTGCAGTTTTGAAAGCAAGAAATCTCAGGTAATTTAGAGAAGACTTTATTGTATTTCTTCAGTGCTATATATTGTTTGCATTTATTTCTCTATCACAAGTAATATCTTGATCAGTTGTTAAGTTGTGTTGTCAATTCCTTCCAACTGACCATTATCTGTAATATATTTGTGCAGCCTATGCAAGTTTCAACAGATAACCTGTTATTTATGTTTTACTATTACAACAAAAGTTATGTTTGTAATTGCTGTGAAAATTGAGTGAAATTTGTGTTGTAGATAGATTTGTTTTTGTGCCATCTCGTGAAGCACTTATATTTCACTGATATTTGTCATATTTCTAGCCTAGATATGTTAATTGTCTTCTGTACAAAATACCTGCCTGTATATTTCAGGAATTGAAAGCTAGCTAGTGTAAATAATGTTACCCAAGTTTGATAATGCTATAAAATCTACCTTAGCGAGTTTCCTTTTTTATTATTAATATAACAATGAAAATTTTGACAAAACATCTTGATTATTGTAACTTTTGGTTTGAACTAAGGGTAAGGCAGGTAACCCCTATTTGCTAGCAATGGGAATTCTATGCATATGAGAGAATTTTGCTTTTTGAATGTTGCTTTTTAACTCACAAGAATATAGAGAATATGTGCACAACCTTCAGCACAATGAATAGCTGTTTAAATTATAATAACTTAGATGAATTAGAAAAGTTTGGACCATCATAAATCTTTGGGAACTAATATTTTTTTAATAGATATTGTCTCATACTTCTCAGTATAAGTGTACATAATGAGTGAATGAATGCTTCAGGTTTTGGGCGAGTATTGACTAGTAATTGTGGAGAGTGGTGGTTGGCCATTCATTCAATATAAATATTTGGCAGTTGCTTTAATTGCATAAAAGCATTGTACTTTTAGAAATGCTTAGCATTTCATGGCTTTATAAAGAGATGATAGAGCAGCAGTTGTTTTATTTTTATTTTTTCCCATTCCATAATTCAGTTATGGAATAGTATGTGTCAATAGTGCCAGCAGGATATTTAATTAAATTTGCTCTTGAAGAGTGCTGATGGTTTTGAACCTGGTATTTCATATCTTTAATATAAAGTACCTTCAGGGCTTGTTAAGAAGGAAGAGGTTTCTGTTTCTCTTTCAAATCATATTTAGTTGTCTACGTAAGATTGAGTTTAAACCAAGGATATTGAACATTCATTTTTAATTGACCTTTCTATATTTCAGTTATGTTTTGATATGATTTAAGATACTGTATTATGTACATTTGTCTTCTTTCTTTCTGTAAATTCATTCTCAGCCTTCCTTTTCAACTGTAGATGTATTTGAGAGAATCAGCTAAGATCTATGTATATTTTCTTGTTAGAACAACGTTATCAGAATTTTATGCTTTAAATTGCATTGTGCTGCTGTTAGAATAATTTCTTCTTATTTTTATATTAGTCAACATGCAGAACAAAGTATTGAAAATGAACTCTGCGTCATTATGTATAATAAATATTTTTGTCAACATGTCAGAGAAACTATGTTTAACATAACTGAATCAATTGTGTATATTTCTGTTTACTGACCAGTTTTCAAATAATGTGATGTTTTAACTAATAGTATTTGATCAAGTATATTGAAGTTATAATGAAATAGTTCTTTTCTGTATTTAATTCGTGAAGTACACAAAAAATTACAATGATTCCCACTAAAAATTTAAATACATATTTTTGTTTGAAAATGTGTGTTTGATTTTCATCCATTCAAATCTTGTTCCATCTTTGACTCCAGCAAATACCCATTAGTGAATATTTTGCTAGAATGATTTTACTACAGATTTCCCTTAATCATTCTCTATAGTAGTGTAAAATAAAGTTAAATTCCTTCTGGTTGCTGATGGGTTCATGTGTATTTGTGAATGACACAAATTTAATAAAGTTGCTTATGTTGCCTAGTATTATAATTTGAGAGCATTTTTAACATAAAATATGTTGAATTGTTAGAGTATTAGAAGTTTTAATAGAAGTGCGTATTGGGATTTGATTTGTGAAGTATCCAAAAATTAAGATAGGATTACACAAGGATTTTATCCCAGGGTGACGTGTTTTGTAAAATTTAAGAAACTGGACCAAAATCTTATGGAAGTGCACACTCTAGTGGCTCTTGTCGGCTCTATAGGTGTATTCCATTTCATGGCAGTTTGTGTAGTGTAAACATTTTCTAAAATATTAATAATTCCTTAATCTGCCAATCTGAATCATTTTATCAACTACGATCAGAGAATTCCTGATCTAAAAATTGTCAATTATGCTCAAAATTACTCAAAAAATCGCCTAATTTACTGTATTGTGCACACGTATCCATCGCAATGCTAAGTACCTAAGTGAAAATGTAGGAAACTCTTATGGTGAAACAAAATCTGAATTAGAGTAAGCATAAGTAAGGGGATTCAACACCAAAATTGTAAATCTGCTCTCGCTCCCTTGTGTATTTGAATTGATACATCAGTTTCTGAATTGGCTATAATCCAATGATTTTTGTTTAAAATTCCAAAAAGGGAAGAAAGTACTTTTACAAAGTTTTCATGTAATGAACAAAGAAAATACTTACCGTTGCAATAGAGTAAAATTATATTAATTTGGTGAATATTACCTATTATGCGAAAATTATGAACCTGCTCAAATTGCCAAACCTAACTCATCTTTGCTGAAGTTATAAAATATGAAACTATTTCTATTGACAGAAATGAACATTAATCCTATACAAAATCTTTTTCAATTCTAGATCCCCTTTGAAAAGCACTATTTTATTTTATGTCAAAAACTCTGACTTCCTATAGGGATAAGTTAAATTGAAGTTACATTTATGTCCAGAAACAAAACAAGGGCCATCTCAGCATTTGCTCAAGGATCAGGGAAACTGGACGAAAACCTGATCGAGATAGGATTCATTGACCCAGAAGCTGAAGTACAATACTTGTTACAGGTTCTTTAGAATTATACAATACAAATGGTAAACAATACACTAAATGTCATCGTTAAAATTAAGATTACTTTCCTTTTAGATGCTTAAAAAAAATATGTGCAGCCAATTAATTTAAATTTGTAATATATAATTTAAAATGTTTTTCTATACCTCAATTATTTTCCATTTGTAACACAGAACTCTTGTTATATTAAAAAAAACAATTCATGTTCAGAGGAGTCCTATCAAATCTCAATCAATGGCAACAAAATAAAAAGTTGTTCCAAGTTTCATCAACAGGAGATTCCATTAAATTAAGATACAAGTGTTGTCTAGGTATCATATTTTTTTAAAAGACTAAAGTTCTGTTCAATCATGTAGAAAAACTTAGTATTAAGAAAAGCTTGCATCTAGGTGGAAAACTCAATTAAATTAAATAACTTCAATTAAAAAAAAAACTACTGAAAATTACAAACTTGCATACAGGATTATGAAACGCAGAAGGATCTTTAACATTATAAATTTTTTATTTCACTATGGTTAGAAACATTTACAATGTATGACTCAAATTGACTTTGTGAACACATAGGTATTAATAATTCTATTGCAATAATAGTGTAATGTTACAAATTATTACAATTACATTTTTTAAAGTGTTCAGGATTTAAACATGCAAAATAATTTTCTAAAACATCGAACAGGTACTAATACCTACAGATAAATCAGTTGCATTAACTAAATGTACACTTATGAATGGCGAAATGCATATACAATTTCTTAACATGCACACTTGACATTGGAGTTAACCCCATAAGGGAAAAAAAACAGTATTACACAAATTCAAACTTATAAAGTGGTAAAACAGCATAATGACATGGGCTTTAAACAACGGTACAATATGATTATTAAAGCAAAGTACAGCTGCTTTTTTCCCGGAAGGGATTGGCTTTCTGTGAACTAAATCCCACCAGGAGGCAGTCTTCTTGTTCATGTTCATTGATAAATTTCATGATATCCACGACCGCCTGAGAAACATTTATGCGCTTAATAGCCGCTTCTCGCCTCAACTGCTCTGTAATTTGCCGCTGTTGCTGCAAATTAGAAATCATCATGTCCATAACAGCAGTATCCGAGAGGCCTATTTTAAGGGCGTGGTTTGAACCTGTTCAAGAGTAAAAACAGGGCCAATGGATTGGCCTCCAACACTCTTTTCACTCCTCACAAAAGGACGATACACAAAGTATGTATCGACCTTTACTGTACGCCAATGCAGAAGGCAGCAATGATTATTAAATAAGCGGCGCACAAAACGTCACAGATCCAAACAGTGAACGATAGATTACAACTATGGCGATTATGGCCGCTGTCGGGCTTCGGCCAAGCTGGGCCAAGCTTCGGCACTATTTCGGCCTAGTTCGGCCAACTTCGGCCTCGCAATTGATTTGATCTCTCAATATTCTTTCTCCATGACAAGTCTTGCCACCCTTGATTGTGAATTTCTAAACGGCTGCAAAAATCATCGTCGAACGTAGTAGTTCTTAACATAGACCACTAGTGTTATGCTTCTTAACGTCGAATTTTGCAAATTAAAGTTGTTAGTTTCAGGTAGTGCATTTCGTTTGCTAATATTGAATTACAAATGTTTATAATTAAAAAACGTATATTTAAATAGCGTTAATTAAAAAGAGAATAGGGAGTTTGTGCCACCTCGAGCGTAAAGCATTATTGATCTTCTGCGCATGCGCAGGTTCAGTTTTGCATCACTTTAGTGCCCATGCGCCGAAGATCGATAGTGATTTACGTTCGAGGCGGCACAAACCCCCTTATTATATCAGTGAGTGGGTCGAGCAAATATCAAAGTTCAAACAATGGCATGTAAATGATTCTTTCCTTCTAATGAAGCAGATGCTGTACCCACAGACTACAAACAGCGATGCCTTCAGAGAAATAAAGGTAACGCGCGGCATAGCTTAAATGTCATGTAAAGAAAAGAGACTCTGCGAAATTTGAACAACATGAGAGACAGCTCAACCAGTTTGCCATCATAAGAACGAGCATTACGTTCTTTCAGGAGACGTCAGATCACAGCGGCTGTAATGAGTAACTAAGCAGTGCTGCAAGAACACACAGGAAAATGCAAAAGAATCAAGAAAACTGTCACCCAAATTATGAGAACAATGTATTATGCCCTATATGCGATCAAGAGATAGACGAAAAGGACGCGGCTGTAGAATGTGATGGCATACGCCAAAAGTGGCATCACGATTAGTGCAGAATTGCACAAGGGTAACTCATCGCGCTCAAGGCGACACTCACATCAAGCATCTATGGATGTGTGATGCACGTGAAAAATATTTGAATACATGTACAGCAGGGAGATCCATGCAGAGAGAAATAGAAAATATGATAAATGAAATGAACAAGAAAATTGACATGCTTGCAACAAAAATAGAAGAATTAACAGTAATCCAAAAGAAAAATACAAATGCGCCGAAGGCACCAGAAACTCCCACGCGCTCAACAAGTTAAGAAACCAGTCTTACTTACTCAAATAGCACCTCAGTGATTGTAAGAGCGGGTAATCAGAAAGAGGCAGGCGACAAACAAAATGACGTCTGTGAAAATGCATACACCGATAATGCCAAAAATTCTCGGTCGAATGAAACACCAGAAGAAGAAAATCCAGAAGGAAATGAAGAGTCCCACACTGAAGAATTTAAAATAGTAGAATACAGAAGAAAGTATATGAAGTCGAGAGACCTCTGTAAGGGCTTAATAGGAACAGCGATGGAAGGAAGACTGAAAACTAGGGCCCACGCAGCTTGGCTGTACATTGCACGTCTGGACCGAAACACCACAGCGGAGGATGTAGAAACCTTTCAGATGATGATGAGGGGAAAAGGGACAATCACAAATACTACCATGTCTTCACAAGACCAGAACATGTACCCTCATCGGCGCAGAAGACGGCCGCCGCAGTTGTCTGCGCCGACTTTATGCGTTAAATAACTAGTGCTAATAAATGGCACAGACTTTCCCGTATTCGTTTTCTATTTCCTTTGGTCCCAGTTACCTATTCGAACTTGCTGTCCAAATTTGTTTGAAATTTGCTTAATTTTACTGCTTCCTAATAGTAGAACGGAAATATTATTTTAAGAATATAAAAGAACAATAAAACCTCATCTAATTGGCAATTTTCTTTGAAAAAATTGGAGACGTTTTTAAGAAAATAGCATTTAAGTGGTACTGTAAATTCGAAATTTGAACCTCGTTTGACAAAACTATTGAGTTTTCGAAAAACTTCATCGAAAAACTGACGTCATTTTAAGCACTTCCAGTCACAAATACAATAGTGTTGACTAATCGCTGGAAATATATTAAAGGCATGAGAGACCTTTTAACAAATTACATTTGTGTAATTTTTTTTTTTAAATACATAAAAATGAATTCTATGTCATCTCAAATAGTGCAATTAACACTATCTGTTGGAAAAGTTTGAAGAAAAAATTTTGAGCCATTTTGTGAGCAAATTGCGATTGAGCTTTTCTGAAAATTTGGAATTTTGAGGGTTTTTTCACGGGCAACTGTCGAGTTTTCGGGAAACTTTATCTGTTATTATTTAAAATGTCTTCATAAATACTTTAATTTTTGAAAAAAACAAATGAAAAGAGCCAACTTATGTGTATGTCATCTCATAGAGTACATTTAGCACTACTCCTACCAAAAGTTTAAAGAAAAAAATTGGAGCTGTTTTTGAGAAATTGTTA